ACCTAATGGTAGTGGGGACACGTCAAGAAAATGAAGAGTTTGGGGGTTTCCATTCTTTGGACCCCACTTCCTAGAAGGGCTCAGGTAGATTTTGCATCACATCATGCTGGGCTGGGGAATTCTGGAAATTGTAGGATGAAAAGAAAAAGGAAACTTTTAGAAGCTCCAGCTCTAAAAGAGTTCCTGTATCCCAAATCAAAGCTGGATGAACATCTCAGTGGTTTAGGTCTCATTGAGAGTTCAATTCTGCACTGTGTCTCCAGGGAGAAGAGCCAGCCTGGGTAGCCTTGGGCAAGCTGCACCGTCCTAGGGTGCCCCTAGAGGAAAGGAATGGTAGCACACCTCTGAGTATTCTCTACCTGGAAAATCCCGAGAAAGGGTCACCCTAAGTCAGAATTGACTTGATGGCATGTGATAATTACTAGTATCACCCCAAATTTAACTCCTCAAGCCAGCACCATTTTGCACCTCGATACTCATTTTCTTTTCAGAACTGGCATGTGATAATTACTAGTATCGCCCCAAAGCCAGCACTATTTAGCACCTCGATACTCATTTTCTTTTCAGAACTGGAAATTGACTCACCCGCTTTTCTTATTCATGCTGAGTCTGAAAACAGGAACAAAAAAAGCCTGGTAGGGATTTGGTAGAGGAGAAGGTTTTGCTTGGTTTGTTGTCATCATTCAAGATCAATGGTTCCCAACCTGGGGTCCCCAGATGTTCTTGGACTAAAACTCCCAGAAGCCTTCATTGCTAGCTGTGCTGGCCAGGATTTCTGGGAGTTGTAGATTAAGAACATCTGGGGACCCAAGGTTGGGAACCACTGTTTTAGAAGAACTTTCTGAAATGCACATCTCTCCACACACCCAAACGGGAAAAACTCCGAGTTTTAAAGATTTGACGGTGCGACACGAAGTGATCCAAAGGGCTTAAGGACCTCTTGAAAGGCCATCTTGAACAACTTTATAGCGATTTTGGTTCGTCTGCCTGTTTTTGCCCCATCTTGCCCCCCTCTCCCCTTGCTTGCCCTCTGCAGCTTGCTCCTGTCAATCAGAAGCTCCAGCCAACCATGGGAGGGATCCAGCGAGCCCTGCCTGAGCAGGTTAGGCAGCCAAACATGTGGCTCAAAGACAAAATTCGGGAATTCCATTGGAACCCAAGCCTCAGGGAGGAATTCAGGCCGACCAAATCTTGGAATGGAACCACCACCCAACCAAAAGGGGCAGCAATGTGGGGCTGTTTCCAGATGTGGGATACAGGTCGGGATTGACGGTCCATCCAGCTGTGGTGACTAGCCTCCACCAGGACACATCTTTCCACTCCAAGAATGTGCCTTACCATTTTTTCCATCTCCCCCCCTCCTTTCCCATTTTTACAATCAACTGTTGTTTTCTTCCTAGTTTAAATGTCTCCCGCTTCCAGGGGGCATTGCTGGATCCCACACCCATTTCTGCATCCTAAAACAACAGAGCGGCAATGCCTGGAGGGCTTGGAGGCCATGGGGTCATGGCGCACACTGGTTTCCAGTTCCTTTCCACATACCAGCTCCCCCTTCGCAGTCCGGCTGCCAGCAAGGAAGGCCAAGAAGGAGGAATGTGTGCCTGCAGGCCAGGATAAATCAGATGGATTAGGAGTGCCTTAGCTCCAACCCAGTATAGCCATGGCTGGGGATGATGGGTGCTGTAATACAACACACTGACTGGTGGGTGGTCGAATTAGGGTCTTTAACATTGGAGGCATTTAAGAGAAAACTGGACACCCATCTGTCTTATCTGCTTTGGTTTGGATTCCTGCCTTGAGCAGGGAGGTTGGACTGGATGGCCTTCGGGGGCCCCCTTCCCGCTCCATGATTCTCGGATTCTACCCGCTGCCACTGAGCCCCTCGACAGAAACTCAGACTCTATGAAAGTGTATGCCTTAATAAAGGGGTTGGATGGTTGGATAGCTCAGTGAGTTGGACCACAAAGTAGTCTAGCTTTCTGAAAATATCCGGTTGAGCCTATACACACATGATTGATGTTCCCTCTATGAAAACCGATGTGGGAATTGGAGAAGGTGGGTATGACTAGACACGCAACCTGCCGCTCCTCCAATCACCGTGGCAGCTTCCGCGGGTGGAACTCTGCTGGTCTAAACACTGAACAAGGCGCTTGCTGGTGCATTTCGTGATTTTTCAGTGTTTTTTCCCCATCAGCTTTAGGACTTCTTTGGTGGCCACCTTCTGGATCCAAGAAATTCTGTGTATCCTGGGGAAAAAACCACATTTCAAATGGTTCAACCTATTTTATCTTGTCTAGGACTGGGTCCCATAAAGTAGAATTGAGAAGACAGAGCACCAAGTTACGCACGTTATAGGAGCCGGTTTTAAATCTTTGTTGCAGAGTAGATTCTAAAAGGTAAAGAAGCTCCTCTACTCGCCTCTGTTCCAACTTGTGTTGCATGGATGTGACTAAGCAGACCAGCTGGGACATTATTCCAGACACCAAGGATGAGTAGGTGCTAAGGCAGCGTGCTCAGTCACCCTGGATTGCAAACTAGGTGCGTGGGGGAAACAGAGGGAAGAAAAAGCAACAGCAGAATGGAAAAGAAGCCATGGCCAGTGGCTGGAACCTTGAAAACGAGCACTTCACGCTACAACATTTTATCACAGAACCTAATTTTGGCTACCAAGTGCTGTTCCAGAAATTACCTTCCCTCCTCCTGCAACAGCCCACCAGGAGGAGGATTCTTGCTTTGATCCCCTTTATTGTTGTTATTACATGATGTTAAGTGACCTCTGAGTTATGGCAACTCTAGGAACCAATGAGCTCCAAAATGCCCTGTCCTCAACTGCCCTGCTCAGCTCTTGCAAACTCAAGCCTGTGGCTTCCTTTAGGGAGTCCATCCATCTTGTATTTAGTCTTCCTCTTTTCCTGCTGCCTTCAACTTTTCCAAGCTTTATTGTCTTTTCCAGAGAATCCTGCTTTCTCAGGATGCGCCCAAAGTAGGATAACCTCAGTTTCAACAATTTTGCCTCCAGGGAGAGTTCAGGCTTGATTTGATCTAAAGAATACTTTTGCTGCAAATCAATGCTTTGATTGATTGATTGATTGATTGATTGATTGATTGATTGATTGATTGATTGATTGATTGATTGATTGATTGATTGATTGAGAATAGCATGGAAGTTGTTAAAACTCCCTCTGCCTAAGAGTAGAAGTCAGGGGTTAACTCTTGTCCGGAGCAGAAGATAAGGATGATGTGACAATTGCTCAGAGCATCTCCCACATGATGTAGAAATCACATGGGTAGGAAGGGAACACCAGGCACATAATGGTATGTCTGATTAGCAAAAGTGCCTTGAACGAGCATGCATCTCAAATATCTGCTAGGTCTTTTGAGAAGCACCCATCCTTGCTCTGCACTCACCCTATGAAAGGTTAGGGAGGCGATCAGTTTTGAAGGGCAGACTCTCATTAGGGCAGTCCTCATAGTCATCGGCTCCCAAGACTGTCAGAAAAATGAAGGCAGCTACGCTGATTTAGGTGTACATACAGAGAGAGAGAGAGGTCCCTGCCAGGCGGACATTCCCCACCTGGGACCCTAAATGTATTTATTATTTGAATGCATATAGGCCAGGGGTTCCCAACCTTGAGTCCTCAGATATTCTTGGACTAAAACTCCCCGACACCAGCTGTGCTGGCCAGGATTTTGGGGAGTTGTCGTCCAAGAATATCTGGGGACCCAAGGCGGGGGAACCGCGGATAGAGACACAGTGGGGGCTTGACCCACAGAAATTTCTATTAGGCAGCTTTGCCTCCCCAGCAGAAACTCTGAGATCTGCCCCAAGCGCTGTGGGTTCATTCTTGTGACAGGCTGTCAAGTCGCCTCCGACCTATGGCGACCCTTTGAACGAGGGACCTCCAGAATCTCCGGCCCTGCTCAGCTCGTACAGACTCAACCCGATGGCTTCCTTCAGGGAGTCCATGCCTCTGGTGTTGGGTCCCCTCTTCTCCTGCTGCCTCCCGCCTTTCCCTAGCTGTGCCTGAGGGGCACTACGAAAGTTTCAGGCCAACGCAAGGATCGAGCAGAAAGGGAAATGCGCCGAGGGATCGGCTTCGGGTAATGGTGCTG